GATGAAGAAAGTACCCACTAAACATAGCTTGCCCAAGATAGATTTAATAATGTCAGTAGATCGGTGTTCATTATTACACAGACGTCCCTAAGAATATATTACCTAATGCTCCTTCCTCTTAAAAAGAAATCTATGCTGTATGTGCAGTAGTGATACTCAGAGCAGCAGTGGTTTGTTCTGGGTCTGCATTATCTGCAAGGGGATCCCTTTTCCACCAAAACCAGTAAACTCAACACGCGTAGAATTTGGATGTACGCACAGCTAAAACCAATGCTGTTGGCACAAGCCAGGGAATCTCAAGTGTCTGAGGAAGGCATATGGGTTTTACTAGAATTACACAAGCCGTTTCCTTCTCATGTGCGCATCAAGCAAGGAACTGGGCCTCTGATTTCATCTTGCTGTGTTTGGCATTGCTGCTTTTGTATCAAGTTCTCCTCAGGTAGTTTTAGGTGGTTCTGGTCTGTCTGTACACGGTGACCTGCAGAAGGCTCAGTTAATCCGTCTACAGACATGAGAAACTAAACTGTATACCTTCAGTGTCTGCACCTGACATTTTTCTGAGACACTTCTCTGAGAACATGACCTCATTCAATAGGAAAAGACTCGCCAGATACAGGACTGACATACTTGTAAGACTTTTCAAATATTTTAATGAAGGAACAGCTTGAACTAAGAATGACTCCCCTGTTGCCTCAGACTTTTAAGGACTTTTTTGCTTCCATCCGCAGTCTCCCATCCCCCAGCCTCATGCCCCAGAGCAGCAGCTGTGAAGCCTGTTAGCTGGTTCACTGTACAGCAAGGACTTCCTTCTAAAGCAAAGAGCTAGAATGTCGAGTTCGTTTGGATGGACGAACGCTCTTAAATAGCTGTAATTAATTTACATCTGTGTCATGTCTATGAAACCAGAGAGAAAATACGTTCTGAGGAACATGCTCTTTTAGCAGACGATGCAAAAGAAGCGCCATGTATGTTGTTTCAAGTCAACAAATGTCAGTGGCAAATAAGTTAATGGTGTGCTTAAAATACGTAGCTAGTTATAAATAGACGTGGATCTGATTTCATTTTAATCTAGTCAGTCCTGAAGCATCTCAGCATCAGAGCAAATACACATCATGTTCTAACTCTTTACTGGGGGGAGGAGGAGGCGGAAGATGCATCCCCAGTAACTTGTTAAATGTTTAACTTGTAGTTCTCAGTCCAGATCAGTTAGCCCCAGCCGGATAACTGCATGTAACCAGTCCAGTTGCACATTCTCTTGCTTTCTTGTAGAAATGGAGAGGTACAGAATAGCTGTTGCATTGCGGTTTTTAGTACAGAAATGAGCGACGTCCATCTTTCTGCCCGCAGCAACCCACGTCTGTGCAGCAGGTGCCTACCAAAATAGAGCACCCCCAGGAAAACTGCCCTGTCTCAATCTGGCTACATCAGCCCAGTGTATAAAGTGAGAGGGGAACATCCCCTGTGACCTGTTTGTTTTTTGTTTTTTCTTGTTCTGGATGCACTGCTTTCTTATTTCCAGTATAAATATCCTAATGGGAGGATAACTCCCTTTTTAGAGAATGATACCGTTTAGCACCTGCACTTTTTTTTTTTAAAGACAAAAAACATTGCTTAAATTGGGAAATGCTCTAAGACTTGTAAAAGCACCATTCGTGGCTTTTAAAATTCAACTGTGTCTCATTGCAAGGGTGGTATCTTGATTTTTAGACTTAAAATTCCCCTCACCCCTACATAAATAAACTTTTTATTCTATGTAGAGTTCAGAAGCTTGGTCATTAAAATTATATATAATGAGAAATTTCACTTGTTAAATGAATGAAGTTTCCATCATCCCAATCTTCTTTCTCTGTTTTTGTGGAAAGGGTGTTGGAAATCTCCAGTTCTTCACAGGTGCTTAGCATGCACTACATCCACTAGACTTCCCACATCTAAATGCAGCTCATGGCTGCAACATTTGTACATGGCTTCAGTCTTTGATAAATTTGTCATTGGCATCTGAATTTTGGAGAAGTCAAGGATGACAAGAGATCAGGGTTCGACCGCTTGCTGAAATTATTCACATCCACCCCTCCCTGTATTTTTGTTTTTTGCTAAAAAAAACAACGTTTTATCACCCTAAGACAAAAAGACACTGGAATCCATTTGGCTGAATGAAGCTTTGTACCACAAATCTATGAATACCGCTGCATAATAGGTAGTAGCTTGCTTATGTTATAGAAACAATTACTGAGCCTACATAATTGTACAGAAATTCAAAAATGCTTGTTCTATCACGATTTTGAATACCCCAGAAATTGTTGTAGAGGCTTAAAAAACATGTTGTACAGAAAAGCATTTGGTAAAGACTTGCACTGTATTCAGTGTGTTCATCTCCCTCGGGGAGATGTTTTCAGGTACTTTACATTTTAACACTGTCTAGCATTTTGTGTGGTGTCATACCTGTGACTGAGTATCTTATGTATGAAGGATGCTGCAAAATACTTCATGCACTTTTAAGTTGCAAGAATGCTTGTCGGCCTCTCTTGCTCCTCGTGGAAAACTATGAATTGATGTCCTTATGTGTTCTTTTCCAACAAAGGTTAAGCCCTATGAAATGTGACACATTAAAATGCATTTGCTCACAAAAGCTGTCATCTGAATATTTGTTCATTCTGACTTCCCTGACTCAAATAAAAGAGACTCATTTCTGAGGTCACTTTGCTGAACACTGGTGCTGTTTGTGGTGCTACTTACCTGTGCAAGGGTTACTGAGAGTGGGATATGTGCTGAACTTCATTGAAATCCTTAGCATAACTCCATAATTAACTCATATAATATTCATAGGTATTGGAATCTGCTTGCAGTAGAACCGGACAGGTCTGAAAAGACTGGTTTATCAATATGCAGTGGAAATTTCAAGTGTCAACTTTTGTGGCTTATTCCCATTTGATAAACCGTTGATTTATTTGAGATGTTAACTAATCAGCTTGTTTGGTATTTTAATCTCTCCTTGCTCTCAGTACTAAAAGCAGGGAGGGAAAACTTAACAGAGTGCTGCTGTTTTGTTAGGCTTATGGACCACTCAAGAATATCTCGCTATCTAATCTCTATTATTATGACTTACGACCTGACTCTAGTTTTGGCCTAAAAGAAATCGTTAGCACCGCCCGGTATTAAAACACTGAGATTTGTGTTTTAGTGTGGGCTGAGTTACGGATCATGTCACATTCTGCAGTGTTTTGTCATTTCATGTCACCACGCAGATCAGCGAGAACAAATTGTTCAGTAAAGCATCTTGCCAGTACCGTTATGTCTGGCTGCTTTGTGGTATCGTCATTGTGTTCCAGGCCATTGGGGAAGAAGGTAACATGAAAATACAGGAAACAGAAGTCAGCTAATCTCCTTTGAGTCGCTGTTTTCACTCCCCAGAAAGAAGCCCTCTCTCGCACTTGATGGTTTTACACGGCTTTCTACCGAAGGATCTCCTGCTTCATAAAAATTCTTCTCGGCAACCTTGTGAAGTAAGGTAAGTAGCACCTGTTTTACAGTAATGAAAATGAGATGCAGAGGCTGAATTTTTGAAAAGTGTATAGGACACTTGTGGCCCAGCCAGGATTCATCTTGCACTTCCTGCCCCCAGTCCTGAGGCTCAACAACTGTTTCTTGTTCTGTATTTCTGAGCGCGGGGATCATGTGACCTGTCCTACCGCTTCAGAGCCTTCTGATCTCCCATTGATAGAGAGAGGAGGAACTCTGGCTCAGTTTCCTCATACAATATATTTTTTTATGCCTGAACACCTAACCTAGGAGAGAAAGGAAGGCTCAGGAAGAAGCTAATATTAAAAGCCCAGCAGGCCTCCAGCAAAGCACTGCCTGCTTGTAATGCCAAAGACCTGGATTTGAACATGTTGCCGGGAGTAGCAGCTCCTTTTTTTGTTTTCATTCTGCCACCAAACGGTGCTGGGATGATGATCACTGCTTAGTATTGGGGATTTGATTAGGAGAGAATATAGCTGAGTACCGGTTTCCCCAGGAGGTAATGCCTTGCATGTTCATTTCATAGTCTGCCCTCTCTCTTCGTATAATTATGTTCCTTTTTGTAAAGGAGCTGATTGAGTTTAGAGAGTAACACTAAAACTGTTTCAGAATCCAGCTTTGTGAACTCCTAGCAAGGGCCCCCCTGCAGAAGATGGTTTGAGTGTTGGTTATTTGCAACTGCAAATACACAAGTTTGGAGAAAAAGGAGGTGTCACCTAAAAACTGATATAATAAGATCTTAAAACATTCAAGATTATCAAGCTTTATGATGAAGGTTTTGTCTTATAGCTGAGCCAGAGAGATAGCATATACAAGACCCTTAGCATCTAACCGTAAGTAGTGGATAATCCAAAACAGAGTACAACTGGGGCTGAATCTGTGCACCTGTTCTAGCCACTTTTTTCCACGTAGGAGGTATTCTCTGTGCCAATTCTGTCTAGTCACCCCAAAAATGCAATACTTCTGTAGTGGGAATGCAGCACCTCGGACAAATCAGTTTTAGGGTTTTGCACCCAAGAGCAACCCAGTGAGTTACAACATGTGCAATCTAACCACTTGGGTTTAAAGATGAAAAAGAGGGGGGAAAAGCATTATTTGCTATGTAAAAGGCCACTAGATCTGAGTTTGGTTCATCATCATAAGTTTATTTGCATGTTGTAGCCAGGCAGAGCCCACAAACAATTTCTTAGCAGGAAAATTGTCAGGGAAAGAAACTGTAATTTGGTGGGTGACTGTGCATGTGCGTGCATATGTGTACCTATTTTCTAAAATATCCCTTGTCTGCTAATCTCCAGCTGGCCAGGGATGGCTTCTAGGGTTTCCTCTGCGCTTTCAGGTCTAGGTGGAAGCAGAGCTGAATGATCCAAGGGGTGCTTTATAGGAGCATAAAACTTGCCATCATGAATCAGTGTCATGGTCTGTCTAGTATAAATATCCTGTCTCCCCA